ATTAAACCATTTGTAATTACATCTTTTTAATAAAATCAATAAATATTGCTTATTTCTCTTTTTTCATTTATTTACATAAACTTATTTATTAGATCATTATCTTTTATATTTATTTTTAAACTTGAAGACAATTAATTGAAACTAGTCATATTAATATATTAAAAATGACATGTAAAAACTGTTATGCGAGTATTAATATGAAAATAGTTGCACAACGTTGATGACATAAACAAAAATCATTTATTGCACTTTTGTATCTTTTTTTTTTTTACAAAAGATTGTTTTGGCTTCGTTTTGTATCAATACTGTTTGTTAATTGTTTTTTGCAGACATTTATTGTACCAAATGAATAAATGACTACCGGTGAATTAATATAATAAGAAGGCAAATCGAAAAAAAAAAGATTCAAAATATGTTGAAAGATACGATTTCAAGAGGTAAGAACGGAGAAAAAAATATTAATCAGAATGGAATCGAAGATATGAAATTTTTCAGTATTCGAAAAAACTATTGGATGAATAAGAATTAACTAGAATAGTTGCAACTGTGACCGATACATTTTTAACAGCAACAACTTCGTCAAGAAATCTCAATACCTAATACTTCTGGATAGTGAACTTGAGCAATGTATGAGATATAAGTGGCATCTCAGAGATATATTTGAGAAATTTCTATTGTTAGCTATTCAAGACTGGCTTAAAACAAAATTTACTTGACAAAATGATTAGAAAGTTTTTGGAGAAGTTTGATTTTTTTTTTCAAACATGAAGCTAGAAATTAACCAAGTTATTTTGATTAGATGATACGGGTAAACTTTCACTGTATTTAACAGTCGCTCTGCATATATTCCCTAAAGTTTGGCATAGTGGTGACATCAATGGTGTACGAATCAGTAATCATAAACATAGTTGAAATTTGTTTCTTTTTTTTGTTTAGTGGATTCTCATTTCTTTACACGTTTCAGATGACTTATTGAAAGTATTGTTCATAAAGACCATTAGAGTTTATTTCCATTCAGAATGAAATTTCAAAGATAAAAGAAGAAATCGAAATAAAATTTTGAAGTTCTAAAGTTTCGATCATAGACAAAAAAATGAATCTATATGTTTATTCTTTACACGTTTCTCAACGATGTTGATTGTTGAATGGATAGATACATCAAACTTTGAATTTGAACTTATATCTTATTTTATTTCTCAAACAAACGACATATAAAAACCGAAATTGAAATCATTTAGAATGATCCTAGTAACATGTTAGGTCCATTCATTATCCATCTCATGTCAATCATACTATTGGACTAATGTTTTTCTTTCTTATTTCTTTTTTTTTCTCTCAAATTAAATAATCAATTGATAGGTATATTCATCTATATATGAATAAAACAACCAAACAACTGTGAATTTCTCTCCTAAAAAGAAAAATCATCGTTTTCAATGTATAGCTGAACTAGTCTCTTTCTGTTTCAATTGTAATAATAATTCAACTATACTACTAATGACAAAACAACTGCGAATCATATTTTTAATCAAAAGTATAGAGTTTGCGATCAGAAGAAGTTTTCTTGGATATATATGAATAGTACAAGTGTTGATATACTTTCTGAGTCTTTTTAATACATGTCTGAATAACATTTAATGATAGACCGTTGCAAGCTTCACCAATTGCTTTTTGAAAACAACAGTAGCTACATCGATACCAGTTTTCATAATTAATTAAACTTGATATCGACTGCACTTATTAGATTATTTGAAAAGAAATATATATAGCAACAGAAAACATTTTATGCTAATACGATAATTTGATTAGCAAGTATGTAACATTATTGTTTATTTGATGAAATCTTGTTTTCTGTGTAAAAAAAAACTCTCTGCAATGAGCTTCGTTTTGAATTCTTTAAACTGAGTATATTACTTAATCTTAAAGAAGAACGAGAGCAATCTCATAGTTTATTGATGATGAAATATCGTATAGACCAATCTGTAAAAATTTTATGATTAATTTTTAATCGGAATATTCAAAAAACATATGCAATCAATTAAAATTCAAGTTCTTCTGTTAATATATTGATTTGAAGATCACCATAACCCTAGCCATTTACTAAATCACGATACGAAATAGAAAATTGATTTCATAAAATGAATGAATATGATAATTGATAAATTTTTCGAAGTCATTCTATCCGTTTTTCTCGATTATTATTATCAACAATCCTATGGACAGTTTTGAGAATACCATTCATACTTACGTCTCATTTTTTTCTTCTATTGAATAAACAATTCTTTATTATTAAAAAGAAATTTTTTCTTATTGATAGATGGCGGGATTTAATCATTTCTTTGATTGGTTGATTCATTTTAACAAATACAAAAGCAAAAAATGGTGGTAATGATAGTCGTTTTACTTCATAAAACTCATATCCTTGGATTTTAACATATTCATTTGAAATGTTACGTCCTCGTCGAAGTGTTCGTAATGGTGCTATTGAAAAAAAAACAAGCATTTCTTCATCAACATCAAATCCTATTCCATCACCACCTTCTCCTCCTCAAATTTCAAATTTAGAAGAACCAGAACAACCACTTCGTTTACTTGAACCACGAGAATGTGTTGGACGATCAATTCAAATTGGTTTAAATGAAGAAATTGAACTTTTATTTAAAAATCCACCATCATCTGATCGATTATCACCAATTCCTTCCGAACTTAAAACACAAAAAACAGATATTATTTCAAATGATACAAATTTAACTGATGATCCACCTAAATTTCAACGTACTGAAACATTTATAAGATATATTGAACCAACACAAAGTGAACTTGATGAAATGATTGAATATGAAATGGATGAAATGGTAAAATATACATATATAGTTTTTTTTTTCATTTAATTTTAAATAAATTATTTCTATTAAGGATCTTACATGGTTGAAACAAGTTAATCAAGAACGTTCTAAACGTAATTTACGTCCAGTTAAAGAAGAAGAATTTGAATTATTAATTGATCGATTAGAAAAAGAATCTCATTTTCAAGCACTTGTCAATGGTGATGACTTAGGACAATCTATTGATGAAGATGCTCTATGTGTTATATGTTTGGATGGAGAATGTTCTAATTGTAATGCTATTCTTTTCTGTGACATGTGTAATATGGCTGTTCATCAAGAATGTTATGGAGTACCTTATGTACCTGAAGGTAATACAAAATTTCTCTATATAAATCATAATTTTTATAAATTTTCATTCGAAATATTGTATGATTTTAAAATCTACTTGATTATTTTGATGCATAAAAATAGATCTCTTTCTTAAGTTGACTAAAACTTGTTTATTAATTCTATTTAAATATTTGTAAGAAGTTCATATCAACTTATTTCTAAAAATAATATAAAATATCTTTTATTTCTTAATACAAAAAAAAAAAAATTGTCTTCATAGGTCTTTGTAATTCTTGAGAATTGATTATATTTCTTTGATCTTTAAGGTCAATGGTTATGTCGTCGTTGTTTTCTTTCACCATCAAAATCAGTTCAATGTGTTTTATGTCCAAATCGTTTTGGTGCTTTTAAACAAGTTGATGATGGTGAACGTTGGGCACATGTTGTTTGTGCTATTTGGATACCAGAAGTTCATTTTGCTAATACAGTATTTCTTGAACCAATATGTAATATTAATCAAATTCCTACTGCACGTTGGCGTTTTACATGTTATATATGTAAACAAAAAAATGTTGGCGCATGTATTCAATGTGCTATACGTTCATGTTGTACATCATTTCATGTAACATGTGCTCAACAAGCTGGTCTTTATATGGAAATAGATGAAAATGATGAAAATGAATCAATTGCTAATGATGATGTATCAAATAGTGCATTAACAAATAAATATAAAAAACCACCACCAAAAGGTACAACACGTTCACCACCACCTATACGACGACGTGCTTATTGTCATCAACATACACCATTAGAAGTTGTTCGATCGAAAACAAAAGGCCGAACAAAAAAAGGTTTTGTTTTGTATTTTCAGAAATACAAAAAAACAAACAAACAAACAAATTTTGTTTTTTGTTTGTAAAATTTTAGATGAAAATGAAGAAGAAGCATTAGAACGTATACAAAAAGAACGTATGAAAACAGCACGAAAAATATTAGCTGAAAGACGTAAATGTGATCGATCTGTATCAGTACCAGTCGTACCGAAAGAAAAGTAAAGAAAAAATTCACAAGAAAAATTTTTTTTATTTTTTGATATTTTTAGAATGGAAAGTGTTTTAAATAAAGTAACTTTTTCTGATCGTGATAATTTTTTTAAACGTATTCAAGCATATTGGACATTAAAACGTATGTCAAGAAGTGGTGTACCATTATTAAAACGTCTTCAAAATCAACGATCAACAAAGAAAAAAGTAAAATTGTTTTTTTTTGTGAAGCACAAAAAAAAATATATATATATCAATGATTTATTTTAGTCAAATAATACACAAGAATATACTGATAAACAATTATCTCAACAAATGGTTCAATGGCGTCGTCTTCGACAAGATCTTGAACGAACAAGACTTCTTGTTGAATTAATACGTAAACGTGAAAAATTAAAACGTGATTTAGTAAGATTATTTATTTGTAAAATTTTTTTTTTAAAAAAAAAACTTATCAGTGCAATTTCATTGGAACTAAAATGTGAAATTCATATGTGCTCTTTAAGTCTTATTATACTAAAACAAACTATATCAAATGAAAAATCTTCCGGAGGTTATAATTATTTTTCAAAAATAATCGATCGTCAGGAAGACGATCTGTCACATTTATTTCTGCATTTCAAACAGAATTTACTTTTTTCCTAATGTTCTATTTTTTTATTTGCCTTGTTGCTTTTTGTGAAACACGATCTGAAAGGAGTGTTGAAGTGTTTAGGGGTAGAAATTTGGACCCCCCCCCCC